GTCGACCATGGTCTTCTTTTAGCTATCCTGGATCCAGGTCATTGAGCACCAATAAGGACTGAGACCTTTGTTCTATGATAGAATTCCTGTGTGAGCTCAGACAAGTCACTTAATCTCATGCCTCATGTCACTATCTATAACGTGAATAATATTTCCTTTCTCTGACCCTCTTGGAAATCTAATTAGATTGTAAATTCTTTGGGGCAGGGATTGTCTCATACTATGTGTTTATATAGCACCTAGCCCAATGGGGCCACAGTTTTGGCTTGGGTCTTTCAAAGCTACTGTAATACAAATGATAAATGTCCCCAGTTTGATTCTTGGCTAATTACCCACACTTCCCATTGACTTACCGTATATACTCATTCATAAGCCGAATATTTTTGGTAAAAAAGTGACGCATTGAAGAGTGGGGTTTGGCTTATAAATGGGCCTACACCAAAATTTGATGATTTTAAACTCTATGGAATCATTGAATTGAATATCTAATACATTGTTGTTTTGTTGACCTGGAGCGTCTGCAGGCATGATGCCCCTCATCTCCCTGTGGCCGCAGTTCGCCATTCCCAGCCAATGCACTTCCTGCAGCTCCCATTGGCTGGGAACGGTGAACCACGGCCACAGGGAGCTGAGGAGCTCCATGCCTGCAGATGCTCCAGGTAAACAAAACGTCCCGACCTGCCAGTGGCTTATCCTGATGGCCAGGAGCCAAAGTTTGCCAACCCCTGAAATATAGGGTCGTCTTATGGAAGGGTCATACAGTTTTTGCTATTTTTATCTAACCATCTTGAGGGGTCAGCTTATAAACGAACGGGCTAATGAACAAGTATATACAGTAATTGGAGTCACACAAGTTTGTCTGAGGGAAGAATCAGGCTCAAATATATTTTCTGAGACTTTAAAAAAGAAAGGAAGAACCCAGCAACTTTTCATTCGTCACAGGGAGTTAAAGCAGAAAATTACATTTTTATGATCTCAACTCATGTTCTTATGCAAGTCAAAGGGAAATTCTGCATATGGTGGATACTTGCCTTTGTTTTTTGGGGTTTTTTTTCCCCTCTGAAATTGGTTTTCTTTAAAATCCTAGTCGAAAGCCAACAGTAATGTTCATTTCAGTATTCAAATTCAGGAAGACAATATGCCAAACTACAGAATGGAAAAGGTTTGATAGGTAAGCTTACTCCCCTTCAGCTAATTACATCTCTCTGAGCCATTTCTAATTTAGAAATTTTCATTACAATATTTTTTCAGACAAATGTCTGTATTTCGTTATAAAGAGAACCTCTCTTTTGGCAACCCCATTAATGGCCTCATGCTGCGCAAAACATTACTGTTCTATATATTTATCCATCTGCAAAACTGAGATGCCAAATCTTACAACACTTCTTGTTTCATCACTCCAATTCCACAAAAAGTCCTCTGCCTTTAAGTCCTGAAGATACATCCGTTCTCTCTCCCCAACCCACCCCAGATTTATCTTTCTCACAACACATCTTGCTGCCCACTAAGAAATGGATAGGAACCCTTTTGTAGCCTGGTTCATTCAAACAGACAGAGAAAGCCAAGAATGCTGCCTCTTTATGCATTCATTTTCTATTAATCCAGGGAACAAGGATCTACAAGTAAGACTCAAACAACATTCTCTCATATTAGAGAGAGAAGGTGATGTATATGATTGGACCAACTTCTGTTGGTGAAAGAGACAAGCTTCCACAGAGATCTTCTTCAACTTCTCACTCTCTCGGCACAAGAAGTTAGTCTTATAAAAGATACTACCTCACCCACCATACTTCTCTCATACCATGGGACCAATACAGCTACAATAACACTGCAAATCCTCCAACAACAGTATAGATCATTAAGGCCCTACATTTTAACTGATATTAGCACCAGCATCTTTATGCTAGTAACTGCATTCATACTAGGAGGTTGTATCACTAACCATATTGTTTTCTAAATACATATAGTTATAGTGTGTGTAGATAACCCACAGAGAAATCATGCTGATCTACCCACCACATTTAGTGACACATATGAGAATCAACCAACTCAACCGAAAAGCATACTATATATGTCATTAGCATCGACTTTGGGAATCTGAATATAAAACCTACCCAGAACCAGGATGTCTCTGATAGTTATCATTTCATAAAAGTACATGTATTCTTTCAGAATGTGAAATAATTTTTCCCCCTTAAATGAACAAGAGTGAACTCAGCACAGAACAAACATTCCTTATCTACCTATCTTGTTAATACAAACTGGTTTTATTTGTATCACTATTTAGGATAGGTACCAAAATCAAACAAAACTAGAGATGGCGATCTAACAGATACCAGAGGGCAGTGGGTGACAATTAGGAAAAAAAAAACGGGCTTTTTGGATAGAACATGTTCCAAGCTGCAGTGTCACAGTCATCATTTGTGACAGGGGTATTATAAGAAATGACTATAAAGTAATGAGCAAAAAAACCTCTGACTCCTACTTATAATAGCATTCACCAATCAAGCCAACTATTTTTTAAAACTAATTGGCAGCGTATGTCCCTGCTTCCTGTCCAGTAACATATACATATGCTGCAAGAAAGACACTTTAATTAAACAGAAAATTATGTTGTATAAAGAGCTGTCTAGAGAATGGCAAATGTAGAAAATAGGGGGGAAATCACTTAAAACAATGGTCATTTCCACAACCAGCAATCAGCTTCTACCACTGTCTGCATTCTAACATTTCGCATTCAGTGAAACAATATTTCTCATCCAGATGGCTAAATTCATTTCTCCATTACTCCTATTTTAAAAATGAAAACCTTTCCGATCTGAAACCAGCTAAAGAATATATGTTTTTACCAACATTTACAATGAGAATAAACACATTCCAAATCAAAATAATCTTAAGAGATTGTAGGATATTCTCCAGTTTCAAACAGTGGTGTTCAGGCATCTGAATTTGCTACATAGAACCTAAGTCACTGATTTAAGTATTATAGCTATGAAGAAACAGAATCCTGCCCTCAGGACTTAGGAGGCAAATGAAGTGGAAGTTATTTTCAGGTGGTTTTGTAAATTCTAATTTGTACATTGGCCCTAGTTAGGACCTTGAATTGTATCCAGTGTTGGAGAGCTAACCCAGTTCTCTGAATGATGGTGCGAGAAGTTGTCATGTACCCATTCTACCTAGGAGATTGGCTGCAGTATTCCTTATTAGCTGCAGTTGATGTATGGTGTATCTCTGTGTGTGGTATCTCTTTAGTTGTCAGCTCTAGGAACATTGAGCATCCTTAACAAGTTCCACTGGTTTGAAACGTTTTACCAATTCCAGAGATATTTCGTGTCGTTATGATTCCATTAGAAAATATTGTATTTTTCAACTCGGTGGAACTATTTAAGTGGGATCATAGTAGATGTTTATACATTGTTCACCACTGTGGCATCCTAGTGCCTCAGAGTCCACATCAAAGTAATATGTGTGGAGCACTGAGGCCAGATCTTTGATTGTGAGGGGCAAGCACAATTTTATCATCAGTTGAAACTAGAAGACAACATTTCTAGCTTCCACCGCTATTCAGGTATAGGGGAGAGTTGAATGCAACTCCGAACCTGGGCACCTCCCTGGCAGTCAATGGATTAATGCCCTAAGCAAAGCACACATCTGTTTTACTCAAGTTTGATCTTGCCATTATTCAAGTAGGTGCTTCTTTCTTATTTGAGGCAGTCTTTGAAGCCTTGACTTTGTTCCCAAACTATCTACCAATCCTAATTCTTGACAAGCATTCATTTGTACACAGTGCTGCAAATCAATTAGACCCTGGATTCAGCAAAACACTTAATCACACTTTCAAGTCTCCTTGAAGTTAGTGGGATTTAGGAACATACTTAACTGTTTGGCTGAATCGAGGTCCTCTGTGACTTGGCATTAGAAGCATAACTAGGGAGTCTTGCATTGAAATCCGTTTGATTACTGAAGGCCAAATGGGACTTGAATTACTGGACTCAGCACCAATTACCTAGAATTTCAGGCTCAAATCCTAGTAGACTCCATGCAGTCCTTCATCCTGTGCTATGTATTTCATTCTATGTGGGCCTTTTGAGACCTTAAAATTCAGAGTCCTCTATTCTACATGGATGTTAAAGAGCTCATGACATTTTTTTGAAAGTGTGAGCATTAACTGCAATATCTATTGGGAAAAAAAGTGTTCCTTCCCACACTGTTATTCAAAATGCTGGTTGGTTGCCAGCATGCATGCCAGAGGAGGCTGCAATTCAGTCATGTGATATGTAAATCATTTATACTTTGGGATCCTTCAAAGTGAGGTGTATATTTATATGTAAATATAAAACATGTTTCAGTTGTCCAATGTGACTTGATAATACATCAAGTTACATGTTGGCAAGAGGAAGATAACATTATGTATAGATTGTTCCCTCAAAGGATTTTCCCATTCATCTTACTAAGAAGTGATAAATTAAATAAAAGCATTTTCAAAGCATATGCTGATAGAGAAATACATTTGTTAGCAGTAAGAGGATTATGCTTCCAGTGCTGATTGCACAGTGCAATTATGCTGATTGTGATATGCCCTGGTTGTAGGTGGTTGGTTTGTACGATAATATTTCTGTGTTGCTCTTAAAAATTGAAATTGCTACAATAATGGACATACAAACAGCTTAGCTACTTCTGTGGTAGCAGAAGTCACTAACTGTAACCATCTTCAGTGTATTCTAAAAAATAGATATTGGTATTTTATTTTGATAATTTCTTGGGAAAGTATAATGAGTCTCTGTCAAATATTTCCAATGAAAGCAATTTGAAAGTAGATTTTCCAGTTTAAGAAGCTGCTGAATTTATATATGGGGTCACTTTGAAACAAGCCTGATAGTTCCCTTTTGACAGCTATATGGACGGAACACAATTTATTAAGGTTGATTTATCAAAAGCTATGATTCTTACCATTTCCTTGTAAATAACCTAATAAGTCCTGTATATTTTTTGTCCTCTAGATGAAATGAATGATCATCAAAACACCCTCTCTTACATCCTGATCAATCCTTCTCCAGATACAAGACTAGAGCTGAATGATGTTGTGTAAGTTGATGGCATAAATCATATAATCCACAAAGTGTCTCATTTTCACTTTCATGCCGGAATTCATTTCTTTTATCTTTTGCACTTTATTGCTTTTATTATTTTCCTCTCAGGAGGAATCATTTCCATGCACATCCAAAAAAATTATACAAGAACTCATCCATTAACTTATACCAGATTATTTTTAAGTTTTTTTTCTTCTTTAAATAACCCTGCTCCTTCCTTCTAAATTGGAGTGTCAGATAAAATTAAATTAAGAAAAATCACAGCTCTCAGATACCTTTATACTATATTACATTCTCACTCTTGTTTCTTGCTCATGATTCATTAGTCACGGAGCATCAAGTAAAAAGCATTGTAAAGTCAAGCTTTCAAAGCCATACCAGTAAATGATTTCAAAGATCATTTTCTTTAGTGATTTGAGGGCCTGATCCAAAGCCCACTGAACTGAATGGGCTTATGCCATAGACCCTAAAAGGAAGAAGTGACTAGTAAATACATTAAGATACCAGTTACATGATCCTAAGACTTTTAGTCATTGCTTAAAATACTTTTCTTTTTACTTGGTTATCAAGAATTTCAGCATTCCAGCACCTGCCCATTTTGACACTTTTGCAGAATAATAAAAAAGCCACAGTATTGGATGGTAGCTTTAAAATATCACATGATCTAAATTGAAATAATGTTGGTTTTTGTTCAGGGAGTCCACTCCAGTCTTCACCTTCTCACACAATTGCCTAGTTAAAAGAGAGATATGAGAGAGTTTATTGTGCCAGAAACTGACAAGAACCAAACAAATTTCATATAATCATTTAGAGAAGTCCAACAGTTTTGACATTCAAATAGGTTCAGGCTATTTAGTTGTTGCCTGCCTCTGTACTTCTTCATTTTGGCCAGAACCAAAAGCAGAAACTTTGTAATGCTAAGAGAAATGCATAAGCTTTTCCAGCCTGGATGGAACACTTGAGAATTCAACCCTGTGATGTTGGAGTTTGATGCAGCTGGAGGCCAAGCACTTCAGCCCCACTATGTGCTTCACTTTAATGGGACATGTTTAAAGTGAAGCATGTGCTTTGTTGGATCAGGGCCAGCGTGCTCTTCAATCTCCATTGAGGACTGTTGCATCTGTATGTGGCCAAGAGTCACTACACACGTAACTATACATGTCTGAAGAGATATTCAGGAAAAATGTAATAACTAATGCACACACTTAGTATTTGCTAGCATCTCAACAAAACTACAATTTTGACTAACAGGCTTTTTATTTTGGCCATACCATTGATTATTTTAAATATAATATCTTTATCACTTACTTGCTAAACATATACAACATGGCACACCATTTGAGATACAGAAAAAGATGCCATGCCTGAAGCTGAATCCCTAAAGCTCCGATAGTCCCAGCACTGCTACCTACCTGGAAATGAAGCCATCCGGCCTCAAAAAAATTAGGACAAAACGTGACGGCACATCTACTCAAACACAGGCTACTGCTAATAGGGAAAATCAGGCTCTGAGACAAGGACTAGAGTTACCAGCTAACTCCTCTGGCAATGTCCATTTGTAGGATGAAACTTGCCTCTGTAAGAGACAACTTCCCTGGAAACTGATTCTACCAGACTGTAGAAACAAACACCACAAATCTTACAGCTTCCACTCAGAGTAATGTGCACTTTTTTGAGCTTGTCTTTGCTAACATATAGCATAGTGTAGATAGAATATAATAAAAATAAAAGTCTCCAAGCAGTATCTCCATAGGAAGAGGCAAAACAGCATATGCTACATACTTAATGTACTTTTGGATACTCAGATACAGCCCTCACTACCCTAATAGAGTAATTTGAATGATATAAACTGTAGTCTTAATGGAACTCAATGGGAACTGATGGGTGCTCTTCACTTTTGAAGAATCGGGTACCTAAATATTTAGGAGCCTAATTTTAGCCAAAAAATATTCAAAACTTAATTTATCTACAAAACTTAATGTAGTCTATGGTGTTGGGCACTTCAGACTACAAGTACATCATGGACAAAGGTATACTAAAATCATTGTTTTTGTTGTTAAAGTGGCTGCAGAAGTCACAAATGCAAGTCTAAGAGTTAATTTCCTTTTAGAAAAACTTAAAAAACAAACAAACAAGTTTTTGTTTAATACATTCATTTTGTGAAGAGTTAATAACATGAACAAAAACCTTTATAATTGCATCAGTGGGTACATTACAGGCGGACAAATGTAACATTTTTGCCTTCATACATTTATTGAATATGTAAATTATTCTTCTTGTATTAAAACTGGAGTCTTGTTTAATCTGAAACACCCATTACAACTGTAATCATGTCAGTCATATAAAGTTTGGGTCCAAATCTCTATTCACTTGAAGGGACTTAGCATGTTGTGTCTAATCTGAATTAGAAACATGAGAGATTAATGTAATGTATTTTCTCGTCCATATGACTATAGACTCATGAAAGGTACTGATTGACAGGCCTGAAGACTGATCACCTGTGTTTATTTACCAAACAAACAGATATAGTGTAATCTGTGATAACATACATTTTCTGCATTGCCTCACTGTGTCTCATCCCTGTGGAGAAGGCAGTTCAGCCTACAATTAAGTCCCAGTCAATCTGCCAGTGAAGTCAATCGGAATCTGTCTATGGATTTAGCTGAGATCAATACCTTAATCCTTGGTTCCTGCTGAAGTTGCTAATAATTTAGCATGGTGTTTAATTGTGGTGTTTCTTTTGTCCACTATGAGACCACAAAACTCCCTTTACATACAATAGGCCACTGAAAAGCCAACAAATAGATGAAAACTACTTTTTGGATACTACTGAACTTGGTTGTGAACTGGTGATCCGGTTTCTTATCCTATTAATTTCACCTTTTGAACCTTCCAGTTGCTCACCATGGATTTGAATCCTTTGATCTCTTCCAAATCTAGTATTAATATGCCTTAATGGAATGATAAATCTAAAATTGTGCATCCCTTTTCAAGTGTATTCACTGGATGAAGTTTAATTCCTGATTAAAATCCCTCCGTGCTTTGAACTCAAATTTAAGTCATAAAGTCACTTCCTGGTATGTTTAATTAATTAAATGGGAATTTTACTGTCTGACCCAAATATATAGGGATGTAATCAGGTCTTAATGATACTCAATAAGTAACATTGTAGGAAGGTTACATTATTTTCAGTGATAGTAACATTTTGCTCCATTACTTTATGAAAACATACAAGTTTCCAAACTACAGTACAGAATGCAGAAGAAACATATAATTACAGGTATGTGATCTCAGTTCTATGAAGTAATGAGATACAAGAAGTTTCCAGTTTAGTAAAGCTTTCAAGTACAAGAGATCTGTTTAAGCTGAACTACTAACTTTGCAATAACATGCTAGGGAAGCATGCAAATGCATTTTATCCTAATTTACATCAAGCTTTTATAACAACTTTTTTCTTTTTACAGTTACTTGATCCGACCCGATCCATTGGCATACGTTCCAAATACCGCATCCAGCCGAAAAAATAGCTTCTGCAATACCGTTGGACAAGACGCCAGAGAGGAAACACAACTTTGATATATTATTCTGCTGGATGATAAGAGACCATTTTTATATTGTTTCCAGTAACTGCTTTGAAATCTAATCAAAATGGAATGTTTATATTTTGTTCAGATCTAATTGGACCAGAGAGAACGCTATCTGATAAGTGGGCAAGAATTCAAGTTGGGAAAATATGTACTCTAAACTAAAGTGATTGCCATGTCTGTAGCCTATTCTAGTAATTTTGGAAATGGAACTGTGTCACACATTAATGGAGTGATTATGAAAAGCTATATTACATTTTAACAATCTAATCAGAACAAATTCCATCAGCATGAATTTAATTGCTGCTTCTAAATGTTATGTTTATCAAAGAGATAGTGAATCGCTAACTAAGCCTCTGACCCATAACTTGAAAGAATATCAATGTGCAAAACATATAAAATGCCTACACAGACACTGGTATGCATACAGTGGCATATTTTAGTAGGAGTAAATATTCCTATTAGGATAGCTTTCAAATGCTCCCATCAAGATCATGTACTAGAATCACAGTCCATGAAATCATTTTCAGGTTTGTCGCTTTGTCCACTTATATTGGAACAGACCAATTTTATAGGCCCAATATGGCCCTCTAGAATGTATTTGATTATTAGTTCTGCTGAGTTTAGACAGAGATCAGTTTGCATAGGGCATACTAAGTGAACCATACAAGGTCTATTCTAAGGGATTTCCAAGGGATAAATCCTGGCAGGTACACATGGATGTTTTGGTTTTACAGAACCTCTCTCTCTCTCTCTCTCTCTCTCACACACACACACACACACACACACACACACACACACACACACACAC